GTGATTGATGTTGTGCCTTTGTTTAAGAGGGATGTAAGGAGAAGCCTGGGAGCTATGAACATGTTAGTCTGACTTCAGTGGTGGGTAAGTTGTTGCAAGTGATTCTGAAAGATAGAATTTATATGCATTTGGCGAGGCATGGAATGATTAGGGATAGGCAACATGGTTTTGTGTGAGAGAAATCATGTCTCATAAACTTGATTGAGCTTTTGAACAAGTATCCAAGAAGATTGATGACTACAGAGTGGTTTACCTGGACTTTAGTAACGCCTTTGACAAAGTTCCACATGGTAGATTAATTAATAAATTTAGATCACACGGGATTCAGGGTGAGCTTGCCAATTTGTATACACTTAACGGCAGAAGACAGAGAGTGATGGTGGACGGTTTTTTTTTGACTGGAGGCCTATTACTAGTGGTGTTCCATAGAGATTGGTGATGGGTCCATTTTTGTTTGTCATTTATATAAATGATTTGAATGAGAATATAGAAGGCATGGGTATCAAGTTTGTAGATGGCACTGAAATTGGTGGCATAGTGGACGGTGAAGAAGGTTATATAAGCTTACAAGAAGATCTTGATCAATTAGGTCGATGGGCTGAAGAGTGGCAGATGGATCTTAATTTGGATAAATGTGAGGTATTCCATTTTGGTAAACGAACAAGGGCAGGACTTATACAATTAAATGTTTGGGCCTTGGGTAGTGTTGTAAAACAGAGACAACTAAGGGTTCAGGTACATAATTGTTTGAAGTCTGCATCACATAGATAGGGTGGTTAAGAAGGCCTTTACCACACTTGTCTTCATTACTCAGACCGTTGAGTGTAGGAATTGGCATGCCATGTTGGGGTTGTACAGGATGTTGGTGAGGCCTCTTTTGGAGTACTGTATCCATTTCTGGTCACCCTGTTATAGGAAGGATATTATTTAGCTGGAGAAGGTTCAGAAAAGATTTACCAGGATGTTGCCAAGAATGGAGGGTTTGAGTTATAAGGAAAGGCTAGGTAGGTTGGGACTTTTATCACTAAACCGTAGGAGGTTGAAGGGTGACCTTATAGATGTTTATAAAATAATGAGGGGTATAGATAAGATGAATGGCAGATCTTTTCCCTAGGGTGAGGGACTTCAAGACCAGGGAGCATCTTTATAAGATGAGAGGAGAAAGACTTAAAAGGGACTTGAGGAGCAACTTTTTCACACAGAGGGTGGTTTGTATGTGGAATAAACTACCTGAGGAAATGGTAGATGCAGGTACAGTTACAACATTTAAAAGGCATTTGAATAGTACGTAAATAGGAAAGGTCTAGAGGGATGTGGGTCAAATAAAATAATAGTAAAAGAAAGTAATAAAATACATTAAATATCATGTATTCAAAATTAAACCTTGATGAAGATCCTAAAAATCTACATATATTTCTGAGCAGTTACTGTTCTTTTAATAAAAGCACTTACCCCAAGATAAAACTCCATGACCAGGGCAGATGCAGTAGATAGTGTCCAAGAACTGCACAAACACAAGATTCACTAAGACAAGGGCCAAATGCTAGCCTAAGACACACAGCCTTCAGTTTCCGAAGAGCCTAAGAATCAAAATTTCTCGTGTTACCTCATTGGAGTAAAAATTAACACAAAACTATAAAAAAGACAACGATTTCCTGACAGGCTAAAAATCTATTTCACTCTGAAAATGTATTCGATGTTGGAGCATTGACAACCCCATGGCTAGAGAAGTCCAAAAGATTCACAACTCTGAAAATTCTCATCCCATTTCTAAATGATTGGTCCATTATCATGAGACTGTGCCTTGTGTTCCAGATGTCTCTGTCAAGCCTTTCAAGATCTTGCATTTTTCAATGGATCACCTCTCACAATTCTATACTTCAAAGAACATAGGACTGACTTAGTCAATCTCTTATCCTCGGACAACCTCCTCATTCCAGGGACTAAACTAGCAAACTTGCATTGTACAGTTTCCAATGCATGCCTATCCTTCCATAAATATGAGATCAAATTGCAGAGTATCCCAGATGTGGCTCCACCAAAACCACTCTAATTCCCTTGCGATAAAGGCTAACATGACATTTGTCTTCCTGATACCATACAGGTAGAGCAGACAAACTTTATGTTCTTTGTAAAAGGAGCTCCAAAACTCTTTGGACATCTACTTTTACAAGTTTTATGTCTTATAAAATATTTTCTGTTTTTCTATTAGAATAATCTCACACTCCCCAGCTTCATGAAAACGTAACTACTAGATGAAAATGTAGGTGGTCCACTTAAGAAGTTTGGTACAAAATTGGTGGATTTGTGGATAGTAAGCAAGGTTATCAAAAGATAGAGCAGGATACAGATCAGTTGGAAAGATGGGCAGAGAAATGGAAGATGGAGTTTACTCTGGATAAGTGTAAGGTGAAGCATTTTGGGAGGTCAACTGCAAAAGGAAAATATACAGTAAATGGCAGGAACCTTAGGAGCATTGATATTGAGAGGCCTTTTGTGGTTCAAATCCACAGCTTCCTGAAAGTGGCAACACAATGGATAAAGTGGTAAAGAAGGCATATGGCATGCTTGCCTTCAATTAATTGGGGGACTGAGTATAAATGTTAGCAGGTCATGTTGCAGCTGTGTAAAACTTTAGTTAGGCCACGTTTGTGGTGTTGTGTGCAGTTCTGGTCACGACACTATAGGATGGATGTGCAGGCTTTGGAGAGGGTGCAAAAGAGGTTTACCAAGATGTTGACTGGATTGGAGCATTTTACCAATAAGGAGAAGTTGAACAAACTTGAATTGATTTCATAGTGTTGGAGGCTGAGGGGCAACCTGATAGAAGTACATAAAGTTATACAAAAGTATACTTTTCCTTAACATTTGATCTCCCAAAATGCAGCATCTCATACTTACCCGGATTAAACTCCATCAGCCATTTCTCCGCCCATATTTGCAACTGATCTCTATCTTGCTGTATCCTTTGACAACCTTCTACACCATCCACAACTCCACCGATCTTTGTGTCGTCTGCAAACTTACTAAATCACCCACCTACATTTTCATCCATGTTTTTTATATATATCACAAACAGCAGAGGTCCCAGCATAGGTCCCTGTGGAACACTACCAGTCATGGACCTCCAGCCCGAAAAACACCCTTCCACCACTACCCTCGGATCCCATGCATCTTAATCTTCTGGATGAGAGTACCAAGAGGGACCTTGTTGAAAGCCATACTAAAATCTATGTAAATAACATCCATTGCTCTACAACTAGTACAAGCAGCTACATTAGCAATGTTTAAACAGCATTTAGACAGACTCATGAACAGGCAGGGAACACAAGGATACAGACATGTGTAAACAGACGGATTAGTTCAGAATGGCTTCATGGTGGGCTGAAGGTCCTGTTCCTGCGCTGCACTGTTCTATGTTCTATATTTATATTCCATCTGCCACACTGTTGCCCATTCACTTAACTGTTCATTCATGTGCAGACTCTTTTTGCATTCCACACAGCTTAGATGCTCACCTAGCTTTGAATCATCAGTAAACTTAAATTACCTTTTGTTCCTTCATTAATTAAAAACAATTTAACCTATTTTTCTAATCAACCTGTTCAGAGATGTTATTACACACCACTGGAGCAGATGGGACTTGAACCCAGGCCTCCTGATTCAGGAGTAGGACACTACCATTGCACCACAACAGGACCCTTAGTCCCTTCATTAAAGTTACTAATATAGATTGGAAACAGCTGTGGTCCCAGTACTGATCCTTTTGGCTCTCCATTCGTCACAACCTTCCAAATTGAAAACATTTTGTTTATTTCTACTCTTTGCTATCTGCCCATTAATAAATTTTTAAATCATGCTAGTATGGTAATTATTTATAAATCTATTAAATTCAACACCAGATTAACATCATTTTCTGGCATTTTATCAATTGCCTCTTGAAAATCCAAACATATTACATTCACTTCAGAGATAGTAGGAACTGCCGATGCTGGAGAATCTGAGATAACAAGGTGTGGAGCTGGATGAACACAGCAGGCCAAGCAGCATCAGAGGAGCAGGA